TTTTTTAAGCTACCACCTGAGATGTAGGTATAGATATCCTGTAAAGAGGTAGGGTTTCTAAATTTTAAACCTAGACTTTTCTCTGACTCTTTTATGGAGCTTACTTCAAAATATCTTCTCTTGGATGTTTCAGGGGGACCTCATCTCACTATTCATTAATTCAGTTCACTCAGCAAAGATTTAAGTACCTACTATGCACAAACTATTTTAGTTGCTGAGAAACATGACAAATTCCTTGCCCTAACAGAATTTACCTTACAGTGGAAGAAGAAAGATAATAAACAGATGAATAAATATATAACATCAGATAAGAGTAATGGAGGAAAAATGTGTAAGGGTAAAGTGCGTAACTAAGTATGCCACTTTCAATAGGGCAATCAGAATACATATGCCTCCCTAAAGAAGTGGCATTTATATAGAGAGCCTGAATAAAGTGAGAGAGCAGACCACATGGAAATCTGGAAACAGAATGTGCCAGGCAAAGGGAACAAGTTAAAAGGCTGTAAGATGGGAATGTGCTTGCCATGTTTAAGGAAAAGGAAAGATAGTGTGTCTGGAGAGAGAGTGAATAAGATGAATGGCTGAAATTGTGTTCAGAGAGCTAGTCAGGTAGTATAACATGGAATCTTATATGCCAAAAATAGTAAAGACTAGGGGTTTGTCATGGCTTGTATCTAGATGTCCCCCCAAAGCCTCCTATGGTCATGGGTGGGACTTTTTGGAGGCAACTGTATCTAGAATGTGTGATGCTGGGATTAGGGATGTGATGTGGAATTGATTCATGGTGGGATGCTAGGATAATGGGTGCCCCACCCTAGGTGGATAGAATATAAGGGACAGAAAGAGGGCTAATGTTGCCACTTGACACTTGCTGCTTGCTACTTCGCTGCTTTGCTGCCTTCTGTCTGCCATGAACTGTTTCTCCTCTGCAGTGCCCCTCTGCCATGCAACCCTGCGTTGGAGTCAGCCAACTATGGGCTGAAACCTACAAACTGTGAGCCAAAAAACCTGTCCTTTAACTTTCGGTGTCAGGTATTTTGTCTCAGCGATAAGAAAAGCAACTGCAACAGGATTTCATTGTAAATGTGCTCAAAAATTTATATCTTAGAGCATGTTGGAGCAAAGGTATGACATCAGATATGTATAATATATATATATATATATATATTTTCTTTAATTTTTAAACATTTTTATTTTATATTTTATTTCTTTTTATTTAACTTGAATTCATATAGTTCCATGACATTGGCTACCACATTGGACCACACCATTCTAGGATATTCATATGTGTTTTAGGGAGATGGAAAATAATATAAATACATGGGAAACACCTGTGTTTCACTTGTCTCTCTCCTGAAACTATCACTGCAGGGGAGAAAACTCCAGGCTGAAGGAACTCTTAAGTTTCCAAGAGCCTCTGGGTTTTGTGTGTCTATGTCTAATATTTCTATGGTCTTAGAATTCTAAATGGTGTTGTTATTCTATGTTCTAAAGACTGAGATGTAGTTAAGAATTACTACTTTGGCTACCTGGTGGAGAACAGACTAAGGGGGCAAGAATGGAAACAAGGAGTCCATGTTAAACCATTGCCATGGTCAGATAATGGTATCATATGTATACCAAGGTGGTGGCAATGATCTGATTTGGAATATATTTTAAAAGTAGATGTACCAGGATTTCCAAATTTAGCTGTGTATTACATAAGAGAAAAGTAGAAGTCCAAAATGAATATTAAATTCTTGACTTGAGCAACTAGGTGGATAGTGCTATCATTTATTGAGATGAGAGCACTATAGGGCAGAGCAAGTTGGGAGAATGATTAAAAGATATTGTTTTGGACATATTACATTTGATCTTTCAGCCCACTCACATAATGTTTCATGAGAGAACACAGGCACAAACATGTATATACTGTGTAATTTCACATAGATGATGTTTAAGAACAGACCAGACTATTCTGGATGATAGAAGTCATAGAGTAGAGATGTTTGGAAAGCGGTACCAATCAGGAAATAATACACGAGGGTGCTACAGATGTTTTAAGTCTTGACCTAGGTAGATGAATATGTGTGTGTGTGTGTCCGATTTGTTACTATTAATGTATATTTTCAAATTGAGATGCCTGTTATCCTTCAAGTAGAGATAGAATAAGGCAGATTGTGACACAGGAGACTGGAATTCAAAGCAATTAGACAGTAGAAAGAAAAGGGATATAGATAGGAAAGGAAGAAATTATATTATCATTATTTGGATGTGACATGATCCCTCTACATGGAAGAGCCCAAAAACCCCACCAAAAGATTCCTAGAATTCATAACCAAATTCAGTAGCATAGCAGGATACAAAGTCAACACTCAAAAATCAGTAGTGTTCTGTACATCAATAAAAACTCACTGAGAGAGGGAAACAATACCTTTCACAGTAGCATCAAGAAAAATGAAATACTTAGGAATATAACCTAACCAAGGCAGCAAAAGACCTCTACAATGCAAATTATAATACTATGAAAAAGGAGATCAAAGTGGACATCAGAAAATGGATAGTCCCTGTTCCTGAATAGGCAGAACCAATATGGTGAAAATGGCCATACTTCCGAAACTGTTATTCAGATTTAACACAATCCCAGTCAAAATATTAATCCCATTCCTCACAGAACTAGAGAAAGCAATCCTAAAATTAATATAGAAGCAGAAGAGACCCAGAATAGCAAGGCAAGGGGCATCACAATCCTGGACTTCAGGTCATACTACAAAGCTACAGTGATTAAAAACAACATGGTATTGGGGTGGGGGGGAAGCACAGAGAAACACATACAAAAAATAGACTTGTGGGTCAGTGGAATAGAGGATGCACAAGCAACTCCAGGCACACTCAGCTACTTTATCTTTGACAAAAGGGCAAAGTATTTTCACTGGAGGAAAGATAGCCTCTTTAACAAATGATGCTGGGAAAATCAGCTATCCACATGCCAATGATTGAACCTATACTCATGTCTCTCACCATTCACTAAACTGAAATAAAAATAAATCAAAGATCTAAATATTAAAAAGAAATCCTGAATCCGTTGGAAGACAAAATAGGTAAAAGTCTTGAACAGACGTAGGCAAAGAATTTGTGAGCAGAACCCTGGTTGCACAAGAAATAATACCAAGAATCAACAAATGAGATCACATCAGATTAAAAAGCTTCGCATAGGAAAGGAAACCACCAACAGAGTGAAGAGACAGCGACAGCTTCCATAATGGAAAGATTTTTTTCCCCACTACTATTCAAACAAAGAACTAATATCTTGAATATATCAAAAAAACTACCTCTCCTAAATTTAAAGACCCAATCCAAAAATGAGTATCTAAAAACAGACACTTCTCAGATGAAGAAGTACAAATGGCCAATAAATTCATGAAAAAATGTTCAACATTGCTGGCCATTCGAGACATGCAAATTAAAACAATACTGAGAATCCATCTTACTCCAGAAAGAATGGCTGTCATCAAGAGATCAACTAATAACAAATACTGCAGAGGCTGCAAGGAAAGAGGGACCTTTCTTCATTGTTGGAGGGAGTGTAAACTCCTAAACCACTATGGAAAGCAGTATGGTGATGCATCAAAAAACTAAAACTAGAAATTCCATTTGACCCAGCTATTCTTTCCCAAAGAGTCAAAGACATGGTATCATAGTGATGTGTGCATACCCATTTTTATAGCTAAATCATGCAGCAGCCTGTATGTCTATCAGATGAATGGATAAAGAAAATGTGGTATTTATACATAATGGAGTACTGCTCTGGCATAAAGAAAGATAAACTCGAGTCATTCGTAGGAAAATGGATGCAACTTGAGACCATAGTATGAAGTAAATGAGACACACAAGCCTGAATAGTTCATGGTTTCTCCTATATGAGAAACCTAATGTATAAATTAAGTGCAAAAGAAGACAGTAGGAAAAAAAAAGAAAAACTTTTATTGTAATGCCGTATAGACAAAGTAAAGTGTAATGGTTTTATATGTTTTTTTGGCCTGTTAGTCTGGCTATTAATCTCTATGATAACTTGATAAGGACATCAATAAATAAATGGATCTGATGCTGGCGAAAAAACTTTTCATAAAAGGGGTAGAATGGAAGAGGAAAAAAGGAATTGAGATGTGTTATGTACCTGTACCAGTTCCCCACAATGAATGTAATCATTATGTACTGTAAAAATATACTAATAAGCTTAAAAATTAAAAAAGAAAACACAGGAGAGTGGGAATGGTAGGATGATGAATGAAGGGTTTTTTTTATTTTTAAGTTCTTTTATTGGTATATTTTAGGTACACAATACGTTTACATTTATCATTGGGTGTTTGTACCTGAACATGATGTGTCTTGGTTCTTATTTTTTCCCCATCACTTGTGCGCCCTTCACCCCCTCCACCCTTCCCTATTTACATAGACTTCATTTCCATTTTTTTTTCTTTTCTCATAATTTTTCCTTTCCCTTCCCCTCCTTTCACCCCTACCTCTTTGGACCTTTCTTCCTATTTCAAATTATCAATTATTCATTTTAATCATTTTAATCCTTATTTACACTTTCAGTTTCTCACACTAGAGAAACTATTCGGTATTTACACGTGTGTCCTATTTATTCCACTTACTAGTATGACCTCAGTATGCATCCATTTAGCTGTAAATGACTCTAATTTCTCATTCTTTATGCCTGAGTAGTACTCCATTTTAATGCATGAAGGTTATGATTACACATTTCTCTACTAATTGAAAAGAAAATGTTTTATGTTTTGTTTACTACAAAACCTGGAATTCTCAAGCCAAGGTTAAGGATACCTTCTCCTATTTGAGGCAAGTTAGATTATTGAACATATATTAAATGTTTCTTTGTAAATTATTATAAAGGCAGAGTAATTAAAATCAGGTTTCTGTTTTGTTTTGAATTTGAATTCTGTCCTCTGTACTTCTAATGGCAGGTTAAGTAGAGTACTAAACTATGTTTTTATTTATAGATAATGCAGATTGTGAGGTTTTACTTGCTGAGAAAATTTGCCCTTCAACCTCTGAAGAAACAGAGAAAAAAGCAAGTATTAAAGTATAACTAAAATGTACATTTTTTTCAGTTCTCTTTGAATAACTAGAAGTCTATCAGCCATTAAAGTAAAAGCAAGAAGTGCACTATGTAGCTAAAACAGTGTTTTGTGCTGAGGATTACTTGTGATGTTATGCTTGGAATCTGAATGTCTTTGGTTAATTCTATTTTTTTTTTGGTACTGGGGATCGAACTTGGGTCCTTGCACTTGCTCAGCTGGCAGCGAAACCACTGAGCTAAATCCCCAGCCCTATCTGAATGTCTTTGGGATAGAATTTGGACTTTATTTTGTACGTAGTAAGAGTTGCTCTTTAAGTGGCTCTTCATTAGTTATATTGTTTCTCTGTATCATTCCAGTCAGAAGAGTAATTGGTTTGTGTTTGTTTGTCTGGACTTACTTTATAGCTGGGAAAACTGAGGTTTAAATGTTCACCAATTTTTTTTGAGGAGTTTGTGGTTGTTTTTTGTTTTTTGTTAATTTGGTACCAGGGATTGATCTCAGGACCTTGTGCTTTGGAGGCAGACGGCAGCACCACTGAGCTAAATCCCTGGCCCATGGCTGGTCTTTTTTTGATATAAAACCAGAAATTCTGTATTCTTCCCATTACACTTACTGTTTGTTGTATAAATTAAGGAGCAAACTGAAAAGGAGTGAAAGTGTTAGGGACAGCCACTAGTAAGAATTTACAGATATTTTTGGTGAGAGGTTATGATAGCTTTGATCAGGATATGTATTTTGTAGGAGAGATGTAAAGATATGCATGGATTCAGGAAACTTTTGCCTATAGAGTTAATGAGTTGATATAATGAGTTGATATAGTGAGACATATTAAGACTTGTAATTTTCTGTCTTGAGCAGTTTTAATGGACAGAGATGCTAGTTGATGTGGTAGGACAGGCAGTACAATGATACATGAAGATGGAAATATTGAGAGAGCCAATGGCCTTTTTACTAATATGCTAAGAACTTCAAAGGAAAAAGTAGACAATACACAAAAACTAGTAGATACTGATAGTAGAGAACTGGGAGTTCTAAAAAACAATAAAAAGAAATGCCAGAATTTGAAAACACTATAACCAAAATGAAGAATATCCTTGATGGGCTTAATAGTAGACCAGACACAGCTGGAGAAAGAATCTCTGAGCTTGAGATATGACAGAAGATACTTCCAAAACTCAAAAGCAAAACAAACAAAATATCCAGAATGGAAAATCCAAGAAATGTGAGACAAAAACAAAATATGTAATGTGTGCATAATAAAAATAATGGAAAAATTGGGTGTGCTGGCACACACTTGTAATTTGGGGAGGCTGAATAAGAAGATCACAAGTTTGAACCCAACCTGGGCAACTTAATGACTTAGATCCTGTCTTAAAATTTAAGAAAAAAATTTAAAAGGGCTGAGGATGTAGCTCAGCACAAAGGCCCTGGGTTCATTCTCCAGTACAACAAACAAACAAATCAAAGGTAGTAACAAATTTAAAGGTTAATGGTTATGGTAATGAATTTTTGGATATAACACCAAAGAGCCAATCCATGAAAGAAATAATTGATAAATGATTTCATTAAAATTTTTTTAAAAGTACAGATTTGGGGAAAAATTTTGCAAAAAGCTTGTCTGATAATGAACTGTCATTTAGATGTATATTTAAAATTCTTAAAACTCAACAGTATGAAAAATTTATAACCTAGTGAAAAAATGGATAAAAGATCTGAAAAGATATTTCACTTAAGATAAACAGATGGTAGTGAGTGTATTAAAAGTTGTTTCATGTGCTCGCTTCGGCAGCACATATACTAAAAGTTGTTTCATATCATATGTCATTAAAGAATTATAAATTAAAACAACAATGAGTACTATACATATATTAGAATGGCCCAAATCCAATAATACCAAATACTGATGAGGATGTGGAGCATTAGGAACTCTCAGTCATTACTGATGGAAATGTAAAATGGTAAAACCTGTGTGGAAGACAGTTTGCTGTTTTTTTTTTACAAAACCAAATATACTCTCACCTGTCACACAACAATCACACTTCTTAATGTTTACTCAGATGAACTGAAAGCTTCGGTATATACAAAAAGGTGCACATGGATGTTTATAACAACCTCATTTATAATTTCCAAAACTTGTAAGCAACCAAAGTATCCTCCAGTAAGTGAATATAGAAATAAATTGTAGTATAACCAGACAATGGAATATTATTTGGCATGAAAAAGAAGTGAGATATCAAGCCATGAAAAAACAAAAATTAAAATTCATGTTAATAGGTGAAAGAAGCCAATCTGAAAAGATTGTATAATGTGTAACTCAATGATATTCTGGAAAAGACAAAATTGTGGAGTAAAAAGATTAATGTTTGCCAGAGATTGGGAGAAGGGAGTGTTAAACTAGTAGAAAAGAAGATTTTTAGGGCCAGCTATTCTGTATGATACCACAGAGAATACAGGTCGTTATATATTTGTCAAATCTCATAGAATATGTCACTAAGAGTGAATCGTAAGGTAAATTACAGACTTTAGATGATAATAATGTATTGATGTAGGTTCATGTAGTGTAATAAATATACCATTGTTGTGCAGGATATTAGTGTGACAGGGTGTACATAAGTGAGGCAAAGGTATAAGAGAACTCTACTTTCTGCTCAGGTTTGCTGTAACCCCAAACTACTCTGAAAAGTAAAGTTAAATATTTAAAAAATAGTCTGTTGCATGTGGAATAATGAAGGAAACTGGTGATTTCAATATTAACTTTAGTGGACTAATGAGAACCAAACCAGGTTGTAATAGATTGAAGAGTTATAGAAAGTAAGGAAGTAATGTTTATGTATAAAGCTTGACTTCAAAGGGAAGTAGAGAAGAACAGTAACTGGATGGAAAAGCAGAGTCATGGAAAGCTTTATTTTTATTTTTTTAAGATGGGATATATTAGATAATTTTTAAGGGCCAAAGGGAATGATGGAAGGGACCAATTCAGTCTCACCTAGCAGGCAGCTAGAGCTCCCATAGCCTAGAGAGCTACTTGAACTTGGCCTACATTTTACTTCTTTAGCCTAGAGCAATTAGAAAACAATCATCTGCATACTTTCTGTGTTCTCTTTTCCATACATCTCACTGTCCTTGTCCTGCTTCCATGAAGTTTTGCCATCTTAGTTTCAAACTCCACTAATTTCAGCCTCCCCTCCCTCCCTCTCCTTTTCTGTATCCTTCCTTCCCCTCCCTCCTCACCTCCCTCTTTCCCTTTCTTTCTGTACAAATCAAGCATCTGGCAGTTTAAGTATGCTACCTTTTGCCTTTATGCCATTTCTATGCCATTGTATATTCTTCCTGTTCTCAAAAGTTATGCTCATGGTAGATGGTTCTTATTGAATATAGCTCTAACATTCCTAGGATTCCGATAGTTGCAAGGATGTGGAGAAATTGGAATCCTTCATATATCCTGCTGGGAATGTGAAATGGCGTAGCTACTTTGGAAAACAGTTTGACATGGGCCCAGAAATTTTGCTGAGTTATATCCCCAAGAGAAATAGAAACATACATCATCACAGAAACTTGTACATGAATGCTCACGGCAGCATTATTCATAATACCCAAAAGTAGAAACAACCTAAGTGCCAATCTACTAATGAACAGATAAAATGTAGCGTATTGATCCAATAAAATATTATTTGGCAATAAAAACAAATGAGGCAGACAGGCCGGTCTGCAGTCGCCATAGCAACGTCACGCAGAACGCTCCGAATCAGCCCGCTGCAGACAGGTAGGTCTGCGGACACCGTAGCAACCTCATGAGTCGCGCAGAATGCGCCGAAGCCCTGGCAGCAATCCACTGGACACCCCCCACCCCCCCCCGCTCCTCTGTATAGCCACCTGGTTCCACAGACGCAGAGGATACCGGACCACCAGATCACTGTACTGGGTAAGATGGAGTCATCTTCACCTCCCGTCAGGACCCGGACTATCTTCAGGGGAAGGGTAGCTGGAACCTGCAATACAACTCTGCAGAGTTCAACCCTACAGGAGGACAGGGAGCTCAACTTGGGACTTGCAGCCAGAAATCTGCCTGAATCTCATGGGTCTGCGACTACCTTGCCGAGACTCATTGACTTATATCTGCACACTGCAACGCACGTTGTCTGTTGTGACAGCAGAGACATACCCTGAAAGAGGTTCTTCATCTTCATGGTTATTTTTTATTCCCAAAATTAGTTTTATTATTTTGGTTTTTTTCTCTTTTCTTTTCTTTTCTTTTGCTCCTCTTATCTTTAATTCTTTTTCCCTACTCTTTGCAAATATTTGTTTTTCTCTCCTTTTTTTTTCCTTTTCTTCTTTCTTTTCTCTTTCCTTTCTCTCTCTCTTACACGCACTCTCTTGCTCTCCCACATCGTTCATCTTCCCTTTTTTGTCCCTGTTTTGGTCCTCAGTCGGAGTTATTCTTTATTTTCCTATTATTCTCTTTTTCCTTCTCACCTGTGTCTTCTGACCACACTGCTAACCTTCCCCTATCCTTCTTCCCATCTATCCCTCCCTCCCCAACCCCTTCTAACTCTCCATCCCAAAGGGTAAAGTTGTTATATTGAAGAGTTTATTCACTATATGTTGGGTTGGTCCTCAATCTTGATTTAAGTCACACAGCTAAAGGTGATAGATTAATAACTACCACAA